GACTGCTGCTTCAGTTCTTCACTGGGCTTCCTTTCCTTGCTCATTTTTGCCTTCTGCTACTCCTTTTCTTTCCTTTCACTTCTCTCACCTTTTTCTTGCTCCTCTTGAATGAACAGAAGGACTTCCCAGCCCCACTGCACCATGCCAATCCTTCTTATTTAGACCCTTCTTATTTAGATCCTTCTTAAAGTGACCCTTCTTCTGCAGGGCCCACAAATACTGACCCAGCAAGTCATCCCAAAGCTGGGAAGAAAGTGAGAAATGGTGATCACTTTTTTTAAAAGTTGGTCAGTGTCACCTTTGGGATTTCTTACTTTATCCAGATCTTTCCTTAGCCTATAAACTCTATTGAGAAGAGCTGTTTCTTTTTGCCCCTTGCACAATACTGAGTACTTCATCTGCCTCCTAGACTCTGGTGGTAGGTGGTCCCAGCTAGGAACTTGTCATATCTCTGTATCACAGGCCAAGCTATAAGATCATCTCAAAGGCTCCGTAACCCAGTGTTATAATCAGTGCAAGAATGAGGAAAATGCAGAGGAACTACAGCAGTGACCTACTTGTAGTAAGACTCAGTGGCAATAAAGGCTGGTAAATACCTGGGGAATAGGCCATTGTGCTTATGTTCAGCAATTGGGAGCAAGTTGCTGATGTAGCAGCTGGTAGAACTGCCTGTTGTTCTGCAGTGTCCTTGCAACAGGAAATGTTTCTTTTTCTTTAACACAGAGAAAATGTTCAGGAAGCAGTAAATGACTTCAACCTTTGGCGAGTCATCCTGCCTGCCGCTCACCACCAATGGCTGAAATGGATGGAGGGTTTGGGGAAAGGGACTAAAAACTTCTGAATGTATCAGACATATGGCAGTTTTGGGGGGAGGAAGGCAATAAAGAGGAGCGTATTGAGGTCATTCAAGCCTCTTCCATTACCACAAGCCGCAGACTTGGGAACACGGCATTCTACTGGATCACATCTGGAAGGATTTCCTTGTAGGGATGCCAAATGTAGGGCCTGTATCCTCTCCCATGCTGAAATAAATTAGGAAATCCTGGGCAGTTCGACTTGGGGATGAAACAACGTAAGTGAGCAGTATTTTTAACAAATGCTGTGGATAGTGACACTTCAGGCTTGATTTTCTGCAACCAATTGTAGTTTTTACTTCCTGTCCTAAACTAGGAGCCCTGGAAAGAGAGCAAGCCCAGTCTCAGAAAATAGTTTCATAGTTAGTAGGGTCGGAAGGGACCTGAGCAGATCATCAAGTCCGACCCCTTGTCATGGACAGGAAAGAGGGCTGGGGTCAGACGACCCCGGCAAGGTGTCTATCCAGCCTCCTCTTAAAGACCCCCAGGATAGGAGTGAGCACCACTGCCCTTGGAAATTGGTTCCAGATCCTAGCTGCCCTGACTGTGAAGTAGCGCCTCCTGATATCCAGCCTGAATCTGCTCTCTGTCAGCTTAGTTGAACAAAAGAAATTACTTGAAGCTAGGTTTAGATAGATATTACTAATGGAGTCCTTGGGTGGTGGAATCGATTCTCCAAGGTAGGTGGCAAAGGCACCATCGTTGCAGAGGGTCTGAAACATGTTAGGTCAGTGGGAGTCAACCTTTTTGGCAGGCAAGCTGCAAATTAGCCCCACATCTCCCCAGGTGCCACTGATCCCCTTCCTCTGCCCAATTGACTGCTCTGCTTTCTGCCTTGTGCTCCCTGCCCAATCTGCTGCTGTATTTTCTGCTTCCTGCCCTATCTGCAACTATATGTTGTCCCCTATATGTCGCATGCCACACACAGAGGCTGCCTGTGCCACAGCTCGGCCGCCCGTTTTAGAGAAAAGCTTGACAGAAGTAGTGTAAGCAGAAAGTCTTGCAAAACATGTGACTAGGGTCTGGCTGGGCAATTTGACTGTTCCTTGCCAGCTTTAATTCTCTTGAGGACCAAGGAACAGGCCAACTGATCGATCTCAGAAATGAGATTGAATGTTAATGAGGTGGGTGCATGTCTCGTGGGGCACAGAAGGCATCTGTTCTAAACTCAACACCATTCAATAACGTCTTCCAGATCATTGATAGTCATTGCTAATAACATTTGCAGATAATATAAAGTTTACCAGAGTGGTAAATAATAAGGAGCCATCAGCTTTACAAAGTGATCCATATCACAGTGATAAACATAGCTTTTATAAACTGCTTTAATATACTCAATGCAAGGTTTTACATCTAGGAACAGAAAAGGTAAACTGTACCTACAAGATGGAAGATTGTGTCCAGGAAAGTTGTGATGCAAAAAAAGGATTTAGGGCTTCCTGGCAGATAATCAGGTGAACATAAGATGCTCCCAGCACAACACTGTGCCTTCGAGAACTAATTCTATTCTTGGATACGCAAGCAAAGGAATATTCAGTAGGTGTAACACGGTAATATTATTTTTGCATACAACAATAATAAGAGCATTTGGGGAATAGTGTGTTCCCTTTTACAAATAATTATTGACTAATTAAATAGTTGTGACAAAAGTTTTCTGATTGGTCAGTACTGTCAAACCTTTCTCACTAATCAGTCTATTAAGCCTGTTCAAGAGGAGATTAAGAGGTGAATTGATCTTTATGGTGAGGGTTGCCAAAATATGGATTGGGCTGCCAAGGGAGGTGGTGCTTTCCCCTACCTTGGAGGTGTTTAATAGGGAATTAGACAAGCACCTGACTGGGGTTACTTGACCCCAGTGCTCTTTCCTGCCCAGACTTGATGATCTAATAGGTCCCTTCCGACCCTAGAAATCTATTAAATCTATTACAGATATTGAATATGTTCCTCCACAGAGAGGTTTTTTTGTTGTAGCGTGCTCTAGATCTAGTGTCGTTAAGATGAAGCTGGCTTCCTAGAGAAGCTAAGGAAGTATAGTTTAGCATTAACCTTAGAGTTAACCAGGACCAAACAGATGCAAAAGTAGTTGGAAAATCACACTCAAAGAGCAGAATTAAATGCTTTGTTGTCTGTATAGGGGGACATATCAAGCAGGTTCCTGGGCTGGGTCCAGGTCAGTATTTGAATTATCACTTGGATGATGGTGTAGCAAATATGTTTATAACATTTGCAGATGACAGCAAACTATTAGGAATTGCAAGCGCTTTGGAGGACAAGATCTGAATTCAAAATTACCTTGACAAATCAGTGAGATGATCTATAACAGGTTTGCAACTACAGCCCATGGGCTAGATCCTGCCAGTTAAGAAACTGGATTCAGCAGATGTCTTTGATTTGTGTGAGGATTTAATACAGATGACATTTCAAAGCAAGCTGGGAGTTGCACGGTAGAACTGGTGGGGGCTGGTCCCAATATCAGGAGCTTAAGGAGGGTGAAGTAGATGGATGTTGGCCTCCTTCCGTCTATTTGCCAGGGAGAGGTAGTATCTGCTCTTCTGGTAGACTCCTTTACTACTAGGGATAAGAAGATAATTCAGAGAGCTCTGAGTTAGCTCATGAGCTTTTATGTAACAGCACCACAGGCAGAAGAAATGTAGATTCCTAGCAGATGTAGAAGATAAATACTAGGACTGCTGGAATTTGTCAAGATGCAGGCAAATGTTAGCAATATCTTCTCTAAGTGCTTAGCACTCAAAAGTGCAATGAATTGAGCCATTTTGAGAAAAAAGGGGATGAAGCTTGTTTGTGTTGTACAATTCATTTACTGTGTGACTTGAGCAAAGCACCTTTCTGTGCCTCAATTTATCTATAGGTAAATAGGGAGGATATTTCCCAACCCTGCCCGATGGCTTTGAGGCTATATTATAAATGTTTAAAAGAAGCTTTGTGATTCTCCCAGGAAAGGAGCCTTATCTGGGAGTGTCAGGTATTATCATAAGACTGTAACAAGACTTCATATATGGAGGCAGAGCCTTTGCCTGCTGTGTCAATCGGAATTAAGCTCCTTTCCTTTGAGGTGTATTGAATCTCTTCTGTGATCCATGGAGTGGCCTCATTAAGAGCTCAGTAGAAGCTCCTTCTCTGTCCTGAGATATACTATAGCTCAACCTTTAAAGAAAGGGAAGATGGAGTATATAGTACATCTTCTAAGGAGTAGCAGTAGGAAACTATTGAACATGTAGAGCAGAAACTCAGTCATCAGCAGGGATCCTAGTTTTCTTTAATAACAAAAAAATCTCCAATTTTAACCCCAAAATCCACATTTTTCCGTGATATATATATATTAGTGGTGTTTCATTTTAATCACAGAAATATGTGTATTTTGGGGTTACTTTTTTTAAACCAAAAAATTTGGGACTTTTATTTTTATTTTTTATTGGAGAAAACCAGGATCCCTGGTTATCAGCCTCCCTTGGGGCCCCAGAGAAAACTAGAGTCAAGCTGCATAAGAGGGCCAGGGCTGGATTGTTCCAGGTGCTGCTGGTGGACTCCAGCAGTGTCCTGTGTATGGCTGGTTAATCTCTTACCTTTCAAAGGCCTCCTACTACATCCAAGGCCATGCTTTGGTGGTTCCCAAGGTAGCACTTACATGGTTCCTGACTAAATACGCCTCTGTCCCCACCAACTCTGAGTGCACCTCAGGATTCAAACCTCCTGCCTTTACTTTTCTCGAGGTGGAAACCTGTGCTTCTCCCACCCTTAGACCCACCCAGGGCTGGAGCCACGTGTGATTCACCAGTTCTTCCCCAGGGGGCTTGACTGGATTCAGCAGCTGTGACTATGCCCTTTAGGAGCCTATGGCCAGCGCTGAATAGTGACCAGCCAGGCTGCTTAAACCACAGCAAGGTTTGACCTTAGCAACGGGAACAAAGCACATCAGAGAAAAGGATTTTAAAATAACAATTCCTATGTGTCCTTCTTATCTAATTGCTTGTCGTCCCCAGATGATCGCCTGGACAGACAAGACATGCCTCCTTCTTGCATGCTCTGGGATGCTTTCCATAGGAAGCTGTCTGGGTGTGAAGCCTGTTATACAATGTCTCTTCATTGACTTTGTGTTTTTTGTTTGTTTTTTTGTCTTTTAGGGCAGAGAAAACAGAAGTTCTGAGCGAAGACCTTTTGCAGGTAAAGTGACCCTTCCCGACACCTAGTGATGGCAATCTAACAAATGCATAAGGGGGTCTCAATGTCAGAGGACTGAGAGAGGGAGGATGGTTCAGTGCTTAGCAATCTAGCTCAGAGCTCAGTCGCAGACCCACATTTGAGTCCTTGGCTTGACCTTGACATGTCACCTAACATTGTGCCTCAGCTTCCCATCTGACCAGTGGGGAAGTGCCCTGCTCTACAAGGGGGCTGCGAGGATAAATTAATTGAATATTGTGAGGCATGTTAGATACTGATGTTTTGTTCATCAGATCAAAACCCACGTAAAAGGTCACCTCTTTGCCAGTCGTGGCATTTGCAGCTGTGTCTGTTACCCTTTATGCAGGAGCATGAGTGAAACCGAACCAACTACCAATCTGTTGGGACTTTGTCATCTGCTCAGATTGGTGATGTGGCATTTTTTTCATGTCAGTAATAGTGGAATTTGAAATCTGCTCATCATTGCTGTAATTCTGGTTCTACTGATATCCGTGGTTCCACTGACTTAAGGGGGGTGCAAAATGAATCCACGACCCACTCCTGAAAATCACCCCAGGATTTTGCTAGATGCACATTTAAGATGTATGTTGAGGACATAAAGCTTATAAATATTCATGCATTCTGTAAGGTGGACACGGATCCCTTTCACCTGACAAAAACCATTCCCATGAGGAGGTGTAAATAGCAGAAGTAGGAAACTTCTCAGAAGTAATGTGCACAAATGTCCCACTTATTCAAGGGAAAAGAGAGAGAATAGATGTTCAACATTTCAAATATGTTTCTAAGATTTCCATGAGAATAATCATACAGTTCTCTCAAAGAACGTTTCTTCCTGCAGCTTATGAATGAGGAGTATGAATGATGAAATTATGTATAAGTGGAAGTATGTCTCTTAGCAGATGGAAGCAATGCCTTATGTTTTCATGCAGTTATGGAATTAGGGTTGAAAGCGATGTCACAGGTCTAGTCCAGTACTCCACATAGATTCCTAAAGCATCCCATACAAATGATTAGCCAGTCTCTTCTGGGCATCTTCCATTAAAAGGAGTTTACACAACTTCTCCGGGCAGCTTGTTCCATTTTCCTACTATTCTGATGGTTAGGACATTTTTTCCCCCCTGAGATTTACTCTAAGTCTGTTTTCCTGTAGCATAAATCCAGTGCTTCATGTTCTGCCTTTTGTGACAAGGGAGAAGGGTTGCTCTACCTCTTCTTCATAGCAGCCTTTCAAATAATTGAAAACTGCTGTCATGTCTCCCCCATTAATCTCCTTTTCTCCAAACTAAACATACCTATTTTTCTCAGCCTTTCCTCATACTGATTGCATTGCAATCCCTTTATCGTCTTTGTTGCTCATTTCTGGATCTGCTCCAGTTCCTACACATCCTTCTGAAAATGAAGAGCCCAAAACTGCAAATGAACAGCAGCAAGCAGAGAGGTGCTATCACCTCCTGTGCCTTGCATGCAGTGCTTCTGTTAATGTAGCCGAAAATTGCATTTGCTTTTTTTTCTCCTGTAACCTCATTTTTCCTGGTGACTCACCTTGAGTCTGTGATCCTCAATACCCATAGCCTTCTCAGCAATGCTACTGCCTACACTATTTTTTACTAAACTATATCTGTACTTTTGTTTTTCCCTAGGTGTGGTACCTTACATTTGTCCTTGCTGAATGTTGTCTTTATTTTCTGGGTCTGAATCTTGCTGGCAGTCTTGTTAGACCTTGTTAAACTTGAGACACTGCTCAGAAAATGCCAGTTCTTAGTTTTTACTTGTTCTTTTGTGTGCAGAGGAATAACAGAGCAGTTCTTCTATTGCAAAGATTTCAGAAAGATCACAGCAGGTCAGAATGTTTTTAACACGATGAATTCCTATTTGAAATCTCCGGGTTTATCTTGTGAATCATGCTTTCACACCTAACAGTGCTAACATTGTGCAACACCCTTGGAAGGTTCTCAGGTCACCCCAGGGTGCTGCAGCACCCTGATAGAGAATCATTGGGCTAGAGAGTCCCATGTACAGCACCGCAGTGTTGCTTTCACTTTCCACAATACAGGCAGTAACTCCTGTTATTTTGTTTTGTCATTTATCATGTGCACGCCAATTCCAACAGCTGAATTTAGGAAAAAAGGTGCACGTTGTATATGTGGAAAATACAGTAACTCCATTGACAGCTATAATACTAAGCGCCTTATGCTGGCGTCAAAGAAAGGGGACTGTGGCCTTAACAGATTTGAGCTTGGATTTTTTTAACTTCAAAGGTTGCATATGGTTTTGCAGAGGAAAGAAAAATTAAAGTACCCGTTCCAATATGTCCACAGTTCCAAAGGTCTTTGAGTGATTAGACCAAGAAAAAATAGGGAATATGTGGATCCTCCCAGGAGTAATACTAGTTATGTCTCACTTCAACCTTACTGCACGCATATACACGCATGCACGCACGCACCCTTCTGAATGTAACATACTACCTCTGAGTGTGTGTGTGTGTCCCTAGTACCACATTGCCAAGATATGCATGCTGTTCCAAAACAGGACCTGAACTGTATTCTAATCATAGAAACTTAGAAAATTAGGTTGGAAAGGATCTCAAGAGGTCATCTAATCCAACCCCCTGCTCAAAGCATGACCATCCCCGACTAGATCATCCCAGCCAAAACTTTGTCTAGCCAGGTCTTGAAAACCTCTAAGGATGGAGATTTCACAACTTCTCTGGGTAACCTGTTCCAATGTTTTACTACTGTACTAGTGAAAAAATTCATCCTAATATCTAACCTAAACTTCCCTTGAGCCCATTGCTCCTTGTTTTGTCATCTGCCACCACTGAGAACAGTCTAGTTCCAGCCTCTCTCAAACCCCACTTCAGGTAGTTGAAGGCTGGTATTAAATTCCTTCTCAGCCTTCTTGTCTCCAGACTAAATAAGCCCAGTTCCCTCAGCCTCTCATCATATTTCATGTGCCCCAGCCCCCGTACCATTTTTGTTGCCCTCTGCTGGACTCTTTCCAATTTGTTCATATCCTTTCTGTGGCGGGGGGGGGGCCAAAACTGAACACAGCACTCCAG